TCACCTCAACCATCATCACCATCACTAACATCACCTCAACAATCACCATCACTAATGTCACGTCAACAATCATCACCATCACTAACGTCACCTTAGCAACCACCATCACTAACATCACCTCAACAACATCACCATCACTAACGTCACCTCAACAATCATCACTAACATTACCTCAACAACATCACCAACACTAACATCGCCTCAACCATCATCACCATCACTAACGTTACCTCAACCATCATGACCATCACTAACGTTACCTCAACCATCACCATCACTAACGTCACCTCAACAACAACCACCATCACTAACCTCACCACAACCACCATCACTAACATCACCTCAACCATCATCACCATCACTGACATCACCTCAACCATCATCACCATCACTAACGTTACCTCAACCATCATGACCATCACTAACGTTACCTCAACCATCATCACCATCACTAACATCACCTCAACCATCATCACCATCACTAACATCACCTCAACCATCATCACCATCACTAACATCACCTCAACCATCACCAACGTCACCTCAACAATCATCACCATCACTAACATCACCTCAATCATGATCACCATCACTAACATTACCTCAACAACCATCACTAACGTCACCATAATCATCACCATCACTAACGTCACCTCAACAATCATCACCATCACTAGCATGACCTCAACCATCATCACCATCACTAACATCACCTCAACAACCATCACCGTCACTAACGTCACCTCAACAACCATCACCGTCACTAACGTCACCTCAACAATCATCACCATCATTAACGTCACCTCAACCATCATCACCATCACTAACATTACCTCAACAACATCACCATCACTAACGTCACCTCAACAACCATCACCATCACTAACGTCACCTCAACAACCATCACCATCACTAACGTCACCTCAACCATCATCACCATCACTAACATTACCTCAACAACATCACTATCACTAACGTCACCTCAACCATCATCACCATCACTAACATCACCTCAACAATCACCATCACTAACGTCACGTCAACAATAATCACCATCACTAACGTCACCTCAGCAACCACCATCACTAACATCACCTCAACAACATCACCATCACTAACGTCACCTCAACAATCATCACCATCACTAACATTACCTCAACAACATTACCAACACTAACATCGCCTCAACCGTCATCACCATCACTAACATCACCTCAACCATCATCACCACTACTAACATCACCTCAATCATGATCACCATCACTAATATTATCTCAACAACCATCACTAACGTCACCACAATCATCATCACCATCACTAACATCACCTCAACCATCACCATCACCAACGTTACCTCAACAATCATCACCATCACTAACATCACCTCAACCATCATCACCATCACTAACATCACCTCAACCATCATCAACATCACTAACGTCACCTCAACAACAACCACCATCACTAACACTACCTCAACCATCATCACCATCACTAACATCACCTCAAACATCATCACCATCACTAACATTTCCTCAACAACATCACCATTACTAACGTCACGTCAACCATCATCATCACTAACATCACCTCAACCATAATGACCATCACTAACGTCACCTCAACCATCATCACCATCACTAACATTACCTCAACAACATCACTATCACTAACGCACCTCAACCATCATCACCATCCTTTCACACCATCACCGTCATAAATAACATTCACTTCATAATCGTCATCACAATTACCACCTTCGTTGTTAACACTGCAACCTCCACCATCATCACCACCATCCTCACCAACGTCACCACCACCATCATCTTCATCACCATTACCACCATCAACATCAACGTTATCTCTCTCCACCATCACCATCCTCAATAATATTAACCTCCACCGCCGTCATCACCATCACCACCATCCTCACTAACGTCATCCCCCACCATCATCAGCTACACGATGGTTATCCGTGTCATCATCATCATCCCGGCCTGGTAATTCTCGTCAGAATCGTCATTGTTTTTACCACCACCACCATAATCACCATCATCGCCATCACAGAACCATTCCAACTCGGCCCAGACACCAACACAAATCGCCGTGTGATGAGCGTTCATCTTTAATGAATTGCTGTGTACTTTTATACAGTACGCAAAATGCATTGTTATCACTGCCCTACAGCACTACTGTGATGACATGCAGTACACGCTGCATGTCATCAACCCAACGTAGGAACGTTGGGTTACTCGGTCAGTGGCCAGGGTCAATGGCGGCACCACGTGGTGTATTCCGCAAATATGCCCGACTGTGAGGGCGGGCACAAGCCGGCGTGAGTAGGTTAAACGTTGAGTTTTATAAGGGCACCACGGGGTGACCAGCCCCTCCCCACCCAGCCTCACCCCTCCCACCCCCCACCCAGCCCCACCCTCCCCACCCTCCCCACCCAGCCCTTCCCCTCCCTCCCTACCCAGCCCCACCCTCCCCACCCTCCCCACTCAGCCCCTCCCCACCCTCCCTACCCAGCCCCTCCCCAACCAGCCCCTCCCCACCCTCTCCTCTCCACCCAGCCCCACCCCTCCCATTTTTGGATGCAGGACGGACGGACACAATAATTCCCTGTGGGCTGGTGTAACCTGGAGGTTCCTTCCAGTATAACCACGACGGCCCTATCATAGTAGACGTTATACGCTAGCACCATGACAGTAATGTAGTGATGTGTGTATACTATACTTTAGACAGTCTCACTATTTTAGTATTGTGGTGTAATAATATAATAGCCGTCAACCCCCTTATCAGTGCCCTACCTTATCACAGACCAACTCAGACCTCATTGGTCACTCCCGTGCCCCTTATAAATCTCAACGTTCGTCCTACAAAGTCCCATCACAAGGGGGAAACACAAACAATTATTTTTGTGCCCGTGTAGTGGGTAAATAACTAGGAGAGTTCTCTGAGGCAACACGTTTTTATTTAACAACTAGCGGTAAGTACCCGGCGTTGCCCGGGCGAAAAAGGCAGACACACGTGGACTTGCACACAGACATCGACCCACACACATAGAAACACATCGACTTACACGCACACACACACATGGACTCACACAGACATCGACTTTAGACACACACACATGGAGTTACACACACATCGACTCGCACACATACATTGACTCACACACACATCGACTACATGGACTTACACACACACATGGACCGACGCGCGCACACACAAGGGGGTAACGGCCCCTTACACCCGATATGCTCAGGAGGTAGCCCCTCCGGACTAATACGCCTCTTACTGGCTAACGTACACCTCTCACGAGTGCAACTTGCATCTTCACTTGTATAAGCTTGAGCCGACCCTAACAGGGGTACAGCTCTGCCCTTTGGGCTCTTCTCTTCTGGAGGCTTCTTCAATCTTCAGGTGAGCGACGACTGCCGGGACCGTTCAAAGGTCCGGCTTTCATACAGAGCCGTGGCTTACTCCGCCCCGGCCACACCTTCCATCTCGAACCTTCCAGCAGGACCTGGGGGTGATGTCATCCCCCAGCCCCCTCCTGGGATCTGGGGTCTGCACCTCTGGTCATGCTCTGGTCATGCCGTTCCATAGGGGTTATCGTTGGGCCCTGTGGGCCATAGACCCTTAACACTGGGGCTCAGGCCCTTTTCTGCCCCCTATTGGCACGTGTCCGATACCACCGTTTAACAGCATGGGAGATGTACAATAATACCTCTACACCCGTATAGAAACGGCTGTATGCCGTATGGACCTGAAAACTAAATTTCCCTGTACAAGCATACGGGGTAATCCGTACGGGTTGACAGGTATGTCACAGTACTGCAGTGCTATTGCAGTACTTGAGAAGTCCTGTAATAGTACTGGCATACATTGATACAATGTAACATGTTCGATACAGTAATGCCCAGTACTTTTTGTATGCAAATAATTTATTCTGTGTACAGTATTGCATGCGTACAAATACAAAGGTCCCCCATTTATCCTTAAGCAGGCTGTTGGGGCAGGTGCTGTTAAGCGAGTAGCAGCCCCTATGAAGGCCGGCACAGTGGCACACGAGGGTGGTAGGTGCGTGCCCAGCACCACGCCCGCCCGGCCTCCTTTTTCCCCCGAGTGTACAAAATGTACACACACCGCAACGCACCAGGGTTTTTCCAATTTGAGGCCGAGTCGACCTAGGGGAGCGAACGACAGCACCAGCTCACTGAACGGGTGAGCAAAAGGGCAGTGGAAGAACCTTCCCGTCGGAATTCCTCGCTCGTGCCGGGCGTGCGCAAGCGGAACAGCGCACGGAGTGCACAGTGAAAGCGAGGCAAGGAACGCAAACCCACAACGTCGTGGGGAAACTCGCCGGTATAATAATAATAGTGACAGTTGCATACCTGTCAACCCCCTTATCAGTGGCCTACCTTATTAAAGACCAATTTAGACCTTATTGGTCACCCCGTGCCCATTATAAATCTCAACGTTCGTCCTACAAAGTCCCATCCCAAGGGAGAAACAAAAAATAGACATTTTTCATTTATTTTTGTGCCCGTATTGAAACGGCTGTACGCCGTATGGACCTGAAAACTCAATTTCCCTGGAAAAGAATAATGGGGTAACACGCATGGATTGACAGCTATGCGATTGGCGTTGTATTGCAGCGTTAGCAATTGGAGAAGGTGGTGATGGGGGGGAGACTTGGAGTGGAACCTGAGCTCTCGCTTCTCCCCTTCTGGTATAATAAACCCCCCAAAAGCTGAGGTCTTCCTCTTCACGTCCGCCGTGGGATTGCTGGGCCACGTTGGCGCGAGACCTCGTCGTTGTGAAAGACCCAATGTAGAAGGTCCCTGGGGTTTTATCTTCCACGAAGCTGCTCATGGTCCACCCTAAATCGTAGCCTGTGCACAAACCATGGCAGCAGATGGGGATACCTGATGCACAAGTGGAAATGTAAAAACTCTCCAGATCGTACACCGTGTAACGACCCAATGCGCCGATCCACAAATACGAAGGAGACATCACAGCGACGATACACTCCGCTGCTCCTGGTAACGCGGTCTGCCTTGGCCACCCGAATGTGAAATAATAGTTGTTGCTCTGCATCTACATCAGCCATATGACAAGAAGAAGATTGGTGCGACACGTAGGAGGACACGTGGGAGGACACACAGGTCACGTGGGAGGTCACACGGGTGAATACGCGGGTCATACGGGAGAACATGCGATGGGACGCGTAGGAGGACACGCGTGTCACACGGGACACTCGATACACGCATCGCTTCACTGCCGCCACCTGTCCTCCACGCAGGGCGCCATTGTCTCCCCCCCAGTTCCAATGTTTACACCCTCAAACGCTGAGCTCGATTAAGGCTGAGTCAACCTAGGGGCGACCCTTGACAGTTCTTTTCTCACTAGATGCTCTGAACTCTTGTTCGACAGCCCGTGGCCTACAGCCCTGGTGTGTAGCTGCAAGGTAAGGGCCGTGTTTCTGAGTCACGTCTTCAGGTAGCCAACGTGCGCTCCCTGTCGCAGGTGGAACTCGGAGCACAGAGTCAGCTGGCAGCCACCGGGGTGGGTGGCCTCCCAAGTGTCCGGTCCGTCCGTTCACAAGACCGGGTGAATACGCAGTAGCGTGTGCGCTGTTGCACGCTTGGCCACGTGCGGTGCATACTGGTTGTGCACCGCGCGTGTGTACTGCACGTGTAGATTGTGTGTACTGCGCGTGCATGCGTACGTGTACTCTGCGTGCATGCGTACTGCGCGTGTTACTATCCACACCGACGCTCGCGTGCTGTGTGTTTTGTCCATTGATTCTCAACCCCAGGGATGACGAAGGTGGCGACGCCGTTCCCTAAGGCTTCGTCGTCGCGCCCCTCTCCCTGCTGGGACGAGCGACGCCGAGCTCCGGGCCAAAAGCGGTGGCCCCACACCGATGTCGAGCTCGGGTTCGCGAGGAGCGCATAAATAATAATGATAATTTCAGCTGTGTAAACGCGACGACCCTGTTGGGTGGTGGAGGGGTCAGACAATGTGTTTTTATTCATGGACATGGACCACAACAATAATAAACGTTAAGTATCACGAACATTCCCTAAATGTCAAAGCACTCGATTTCTTAACACCAATGCACCCTGGCGTTAACGATCAATCACCAGCACCACCCACTCAGTGCCCCCCCCCCCTGCTCAGATGCATTTGCATAGCCACACCCACTTTTTATATCGTCAGGCCCACCCAGCCACTAGCCCCGTTCAGCTAGCGCTCCATTTGCCATGTCTTAACATCAGCCTCACCCACTGCTCCGGTAGCACTGCCTAAAGAGTTGAGGACGAACCCACAAGATGTTACACCCAGCACTAAACTCCACATTCTCACAAAAGCAACAGGCGGTGGGGAGAAGGCATGCGGGTGGATACGGGACACTGCCATTACGAACCCGCCGACCAAACTTGGACATTTGTTCGGTTGCCTTGAGCAGGCATCACCATCATTGCGACCAACGCCACCTTCAACCATTGTCACCATCGCCACGGCGAGCGGGTCAGCAGGCGTGCACCAGCGGGGCTCCCAGCGGACCCCCTTCCTCTGCGACCCCGTACCCCTCGTCCCCGCGCCCCCCGGGCCCTAGCGCGCCGACCACGCGGTGCCAGAAGAGCTTGCAGGCGCCCTCCGACCCCGCGGGGGTCACCGAGCGGCCCCGCCGGCCCCGCCGGGCGAACGAGTCTTCCCGGGCGCCGGGCCAGGTGATGTAGGTGCGCGAGCGGATGGTGCGGCGCATGCGGAAGTAGGCGGACAGCTCGTTGTGAGGGATGTGCTCGAGGAAGAGGAGCACGAGGACGTCCTGGTTCTCCTCGAAGAGACGGAACGCCGCCACCTGCACGAGAGGCAGGGTCACTCCAGTGGGAAACAGAGCAGCAATCGTCACCCCAGCTGCCACTGGTGACCCGCTAGGCTCGACCACACAGCGACCCCCTCCCCCACTGACAAATGCCCGCCAGCAGACCAGGTTACAGCTGCCACTGGGGAACCCCCTAAGCTAGACTTATGGCAATCATCGCTACTGCCCCCACTGACAGTAGACTAATGCCCGCTCGCATCTGGGTGCTGAGTCGTACTGCGCCGCACAGGGACAGCTGTCAACAGGGGTGCCCCTAGGCTTGATCAAGACGGTCATCGCCCTCTACTGGCAGTAGTGAAATGCCCGCTCCCATGCCAGGTGCTGAGGAATGCTCTGCAGCACAGGGACAGCTGCCACTTCGGGTGTTTCCTTCAAATGTGAGGGCTCTATGAGACGCAGCAGAAGTGGCCTCGTCGGATTCGCCGCCGCAGAATCGAGCCACATTGAGCTATCGGTGCTCATCTCCCGCTTGCAGCCCTGCAGACCGGGTGGTGTAAATTCAACATTCCTATGGTGGAGCCCATGATTGGGTGTGTGGTGATGTTTGGTGGCTGGGTGGCGGTGGTCGCGGTGGTGTTGAGTGGATTGGGTGTTGGTGATGAGTGGGCATTCGGGTGGATGGGTGGTTAGCGGGTGAGTGGTGGTGTTGGGTGGAAGTTGGTGATGAGTGTGCGGGTGGCGGTGAGCGGTGGTTGCCGTCCATGACGTCGCCATTGCGCGCACACCTGCAGCTCCTTGGAGCACCACTCGCTGCGCAGGTAGCTCCGCGTCACGACGCACAGCGTGCGCCGGCTCGTGTAGATGCCGTCCATGATGTTGTCCACGATGTCCTTGCCCGGCACGAAGTCGCGGTGGTGCAGACAGAGGCGCATGCCGGCGCCCTCGAGTTGCGGTAGCAGCTGGCGCGTGACCCACTCTTCGTCGTCGCTGTTGTAGGACACGAACGCGTCGTAGCGTATCGGGCCGGGCTGCCGCGCGGGCTTCCCGCGCTCCCCGAGCCAAGCGGCGAGCAGGTGATACCCGTAGAGCAGGTGCCAGCGCCAGAACCTGAAGACGGTGGCGGTGAGCATGACGAGGGCGACGGCGCACGAGCAGCAGGCGAAGAGCAGCGGCCCGGAGCGGTCGCGGCACTGGCTCGCGTCGAAACGCACGAAGAGCTCGCCGCGCCGGGACAGCGGGAACCCGCAGCGGACGTGCCACAGCCCCGGCGCTTGCACGCGGCTCGAGTTTAGCAGGAAGTCGCGCAGCCATGCGTTGTCACAGCCGCAGGAGAGGGGGTTGCCCACGACGTCGAGCAGCTGCAGGCGCGGCAGCGCCCCGAGCTCGGCGGAGGACACCTCGCCGACGCGGTTGTTGCTCACGCGTAGCACCCGCAGGAGGCTCAGGTTGAGCCGGGACAGGAAGGTGACGTCGTCCAGGCGGACGCCGCGCAGGTGCAGCTCGTCGAGGAGCGGCACTGGCCGCAGCAGCGCCGGCTCCACGCCGCACAGCGGGTTGGAGCCCAAGTCCAGGTAGCGCAGGTTTGGCGTCGGCAGGAACGTGCCAGCGTCCAGCACCGACAGGTAGAGCTCCCCGGCGTGGAGCTCCTGCAGGGTGGCCAGGCCCTCCAGGAAGTTGGATGGGAAGTTGACCATGCCGTCCCTGCGCTGGCTGTTGAGGAAGAGGTGGGTGAGGCTGCGGAGGGGAGCGAACGGCGGGCTGTGGACGGCGCCCGCGGACGCGTAGTGCAGGTAGTTGTTGTTGAACTCCAGGTTGGTGAGGTTGACGAGGCCCTCGAACGCCCGCGGTCCCAGGGGCTGCAGGCCCAGCTTATTGCCGCCCAGGTCGAGGCGGCCTAGGGCGGCGAGGCCGTCGAACGCGCCGTCCTCCGCCTCCGTGATCTGGTTGTCGGCAACGTTGAGCAACAGGAGCGAGGTGAGGTTGGCGAAGTTTCCCGCCGGCAGCTTGGACAGATAATTGCTGCGCAGGTCGAGGGCCTCCAGGAGGCCCAGGTCCTCGGGGAAGATGCCGGCCACGCTCATGAGCCGATTGGCGGACATGAGCAGGCGCCGGAGGCGACGGGGACCGCGCAGGAAGCCCGAGGACACCTCGGTGATTTGGTTCTTGGAAAGGTTCAGGGTCCTCAGTTCCAGCAGCCACCGGAGGTCATCGGCGTGGAGCAAGGAGATCGAATTGGAGCCGAGATCCAAGGTGGCGACGCCGCTGCCGCCGCTGCCGCCGCTGCCGCCGCTGCCGCCGCTGCCGCCGCTCCTGACACTAATGTCGGCGTTCGCGACATCGCAGCTACCGGCGTCGCAGACGTCGCCAACGGCGTTGTCACTGTCGCCGCCGATGAGGACGCTGGCAGCAGTGGCGGCAGGAGCGGGCAGCGGGGGGGCGAACGCGGAGGCAGGGAACGTGGAGAGGCTGTTGGCGCCCAGGTAGACCTCGCGCAATGCCGGTAGCCCACCCAGCGCCCCGCGCTCGACCTCCTCCATGCTATTGCTCTGGAGGTCCACTCGGCACAGCCTTGAGCAGCCCTGCGAGATGGTGACAGTCGGTCAGAGGCTTGGGATTATGTGGTGGAGTTGATGGTGGTGGTGGAGATGATGGTGGGGGTGAGAGTGGTGGTGGAGATGATGATGGTGGTGGTGGTGGAGATGATGGTGGTGGTGAGGGTGGTGGTGGAGATGATGATGGTGGGGGTGAGAGGGGTGGTTGAGATGATGATGATGGTGCTGAGGGTGGTGAAGGTGGTGGTGGAGATGATGGTGGTGGTAGTGGAGATGATGGTGGTGGGGGTGAGAATGGTGGTGGAGATGATGGTGGTGTTTGTGGTGGAGATGATGGTGGTTGCGGTGATGGTGGGGTTGAGGAAGGTGGTGGTGTTGGTGGTGGAGATTATGGTGGGGGCGAGGGTGATGCTGGTGGTCACAATTTTTATTTTGATGATAGGTGATGGTTTTAGTGGTAGAGATGATGGTAGTGGGGAGCAGTGATACAGTGGTTAGCGCCCTGCGCTACGAACACGGCTACCTGAGTTCGATTACCGCTCACGGCCAACACCAGTGACAATTATCCTAACTGGTCGTGGGCGGCCAGGCGTGGTGCTGGCCACCCACCCCCTCGTGTGCTGTGCCGGCCTTCACAGCTGCTACTCGCTAACAGCACTTGCCCATCCAGTCTGTTACAGGCTCCACGAGGGAGGGTGGGGGATCATTGGCGGTAGTGGTGGTGGTAGTGGTGGTAGTGGAGGTGGAAGTGGAGGTGGTAGTGGAGGTGGTATTGATGGTAGTGGTGGTGGTAGTAGAGGTGGTAGTGGTGGTAGTGGAGGTGGTGGCAGTGGTGGTTGTAGTGGTGATAGTGGTGGTGGTAGTGGAGGTGGTAGTGGAGGTAGTGGTGGTAGTGGAGTGTTGTATATATAGGCCTATTTCCAAAAATTAATATTAAAAATAATTCTGCCATTTTTAATAATAATAATCGATTAAATAAATAAACACCCTCAAACCCGCTACCTCCCACAAGCACCAAGCAGCTGGAGGTCGTAAAAGGCCATTAAATAATAAACTCCGGGGCAAAGGGAGGTTAGCGACTATCTGCAAAATCTCCAGATTGCCAACGGATAGTTCACAAACAAATATCCAGAATCACAGGCACAGATACAGAGCACAGGGCAAACGGACATTAGAACTGATATATATTTTTTTACGGAAAAAGTTGAAGCTTGGCTATAAGAATAAGTCGCCATGATAGACTGCAGTCTATATTAGTGGCTTCATTATTACTTATATTATGTCACCCTTATTCAACTCATTGTTTCTTATTGTATATTTCTATCTATGTAATGAGTTCCTGCAATCACAAAAACTTAAGTACAAACTAAGCTATATCTCTGACCTCGAGAATAAAAAGCACCGATCCCCGGATACAGACGGGGGGACTAAATTAATAAACCCCCCAAAAATACGTGGTGATGACAATGTTAAATCACAAATCTTAGGAAACAAACCAAATAATATTTGTGCAGTATTAAACCGAGGGTTATCCAAGATAAACTGTGTTCCATAGGAAAAGAGCCTCCCAACCGTCTTTGTCTTCCCGCAGCACGAGATAGCAAGGAATGTAACACCCAGAGCGAGGGAAACGACGGTAATCACAGGGAGAGACACAGATGGCTTAATAAAAGACACACACACACGGACACACGTACAGCCCCCCCACAACAGCGACATCAAAGGAAGTTCCGGTCCTTTGTGAGGAGGCGAGCCAGAGGAAGAAATGTTGGCATAAAAAGAGAGACACTGGCCATACATAGTATCACGACTACCTGCGGCAGAAGACGGCGACCAACTTTCGAAGATGCTCAACCCCCAAAGATAACAGCCAGCCACCGACGCAGGAGATCACCACCGACGTAGAAGAAGACTCCGCAACTCATCCAGGATGACGAGGCTCACTGGGTAGCGACACGCTACGCCGTGCGAATTCAGCGCCGTCAGAAGAAGTATCGCTCGAAAATTATTCCGCTCTGGGCATCGACTCACAAGAGCCACTGCAGTTCGAGCTAAGCTGACGAGAATTCCAGCATCATCCGTCAGAGAGGGCGGAAAGCGCCAAACGTCAACCAAGCCTGCCATCAACGAACGAAAGCATCGTTCATTGCCAGAGAGCCGGAGCAGGACAGAGCACGCCGCAGAGCCACCAGCGCCACCAAGCAAGGGTGTCAGCAGCCAGCGGACAAGCGTTGTGCCGACTTGGCTCCTCCAGCAGGGAAAAGAGCCTGACCAGCCGCCCGTGAGCAAGAGTGTCAGCGCCAGCGAGCGCGCCGTGGGTTCGACCCACACGCACACCGACCAGCACCAGCTGGGAACCAAGACAAGAGTGAGGAACTGCTGCCAGCGCACGAGCGACCGAGCATCTCCAGGACGGGCATCGTGCCGACGCAGCTCATCATCCAGTGGCGGAGAGAGCCGGCAGCAAACGTCAGACGCCGAGCGATAGAGGGAACAAGCCGTCGTTCGTATACCCTCCCCCA